TTCATTTCCAACGTGGTGCACTCCTGTCCATGCAACTGAATTTCAACTGACCCCCCAAAAAGGCCCCGGTTTCATCTGACTCTGGGTACAGTCGCTACTACATCTGCAAGGCCTGCGCGGATATAGAGGACATCCCCAGCAGGTACCTGCGATTTATCCGCGCCGCGCGGGGTACAGTGTGACAGGCGTGTCTGTAATGAAGCCAGAGACCAGCGAACTCCTCCAAAGTTCAAACGCTGTGTGCTGACACCTCCCTGCAATAAGAGAGCGGGAGCTTGGGGTTAACACATGGGGAGGCTTCAGGATCAAGCGTGATCATCTTTGTGATTGTTTAATAAGATATTCCAACAAAGGACAAAATAAAAATCACTGATTCACCAGGGTTTAATTACCTTGGCTGCACCATAGCAAGCTGTGTGCAATATTTCAGTTCAGACTGAAATTATCGGCTAAAATGCTAATGCAAGTTTATCTATGCTAATGCAAGCATATTTTATTGCATTATTGAAAAAAAGTAATAAATAATGCAAGTTACTCAATGCCACAAATTTGGAAAGCCACAGACATATGGCTGATCGACACTGTCATTTAAAAAAAAATAACAATTGGAAATCTAGGGAGGAAAAAAAAGACAGAATAAGGTACGGTCTAAATTAGAGGATTTGTGGACATGGTTAGTTTCTTTTCATAATCTGCCTATTAGCACTTAACTACTTGCAATTCACAAAACCATGACAGGGACACTAATAGTGATGAATTCACAGTACTGGGGCTTGTGTCCCTAGAGGAATATTTTTTTTCATACCCCCTCCTAAATCCATTTGAGCATACCCAGGAAGATAACATAGACAGAAATAACTGTAAGCACAGATACTGCAATAATAGGTGTGAAATTTTCATCTTGTGGCAAGTACATTCTGTATCGGTGTAAACTTTAAAAGAATCTTATTTGATTTTAATTCTGCCGAGTGCCATACTGGATTTCCTTGCTTGTCATTTAATATACAGGGATAGTAAGGCCTACAAGTGGGTTTGTAAACACATTAGATACTCGGCTGACATTTCTATATTTTCCTTTCTTTATTCTCGATACTGTAAACTTGCATTGTTAGTGTGGAAACATCACCAACAAAAAATTAGCTAAATCATAGCTAAGATGTGCATAAATTGGGATTAGAGTCTTGTAGAGCATCTTTCGCAAAGACTGGGGAGATTTTCAACATTTGACACGTACTGTCGTACCGCTCACAGAGGAAACATGTGCAATGCCCTAGAATACACACTAATAAACAAAATATGACAACTAATGTCACATAGTGTTTTTAATTTTGATTTTATAGATGTGACAGTTGGGATCCACATCACTCCTCCTCCATTCTACTGCAGGTGACTGTTTCCGTAGGAACGGATGCCGGGCCATAAACGACAATCAATCCCACGTCTTCCATCAAAAAAACAATCAAAGGCAAAACGAGACAGCTACTGAAGCAGGAACCTGCTTGGTCACCAGAATATCTCCAAATCGTGGAAATCTGAGCATTAACAAGGAAAATCACTGACACATTCACGTGACAGGGCATAATTAAACCAATAAACAGAACACGGAATGGCAAACTCTAGTGAACTTCATAGAAAGACATTTTCCATGTATTTATCCTTACCATAGTAATGTATTAATCTGAAGGCAGAAAAATTGGATCACACTATAAATAAATAATAGGCTCTTCACGTCCTTCTGGGCAGAATGCCAGTTTTTTTTAAACATGTAAGGGACAAAAGCGTGCTTTAAAGACAATTAAATAGAAAATACTTGTCCTAGTATAGTCCTGGCAGCCATTTTCATTTATTGGGTATATAAAACCACACTGACACTTCCCTTTGTCTTATTAACTCAGCATGTGGCTTCACACTACAATCAGCCCAACACATTACAGCTCTATCATTACAGTGTTGTGCTTTATTAACAAACACATTTTAAGGTAGGACACGACCTACTGCAACTAGAGAGTTTATATGTGAATTGCGCACCGTCTCAGCTGCTGCCTTGGCTGTATCACTGGCTGAATCACACTCAGTGCCTGGCAGCGCACACAGGTACAACAGCACTGACCCAGAGATGATTCGGGCAGATACCTTAGTGAGACCAGAGGGCAGCAGGTCACGGAGATAAAGCTGAAAGCCTTCCAGGACATCCAGAATCACCATCTTTACCCATATTACTCTAAACAATCTGCTTGTATTTCAGCGTAAATTCCCTACAGTAAAACTGGCATAGGAGCCGGGATAGACTTTTAAAACAAATCTGTGAGACATTACATAGGTGCAACTTACGGGGCATTGTTATGAAGCACATTGCATTCTTATGGCTTTGGCTGCTCAAGTAGCTATTTTTTTATAATAATAATTAAAAATGGTGGAAGAGAGTTACGATGGCATCGTCTCTCCTGGGACCTGAACCTGGAAGATTAAAATCAAGAAGTCCAACTTCCTAATTCGCAACGGTTTATTGCACAATTCGATATCCACACCGGTGACTTGCGCGTTAAAAGGGTGTTAGATCGCTAGGCTTGCATAACAGAAGTTTGTTTATTTAATTAGCGTCTGGGTACCGCTGACAGTTTGATGAAACATTCTTTCCCGCAGTGGTTTACCGTGCCGTTGACCTCCCACCCTGTAGGTTGTCTCGGGAAAAACATACTTTTAAAACGCATCAAAGTGGCGACAAATCTACAATTTTCAGCACGGGAAAAACCAGGCCTGTTTCCATTTCCCGACAGGTCCTGTGAAGAACTCGCTCTAAGTAACTGCAATTAGGCCAGCCTGTGAGTTCTTAAGCGAGGATTAGCTCCTCGGCATTGATGACTAACGGGCTTTTCTGAGATGTCATTAGCAAAATTGAATATTATTATTATTTTTTAAATGTGGAGAATAGGCATACTGATCTACATTTTCTCCCCCCATACTGTGTCCCCCCCCTGAATGGACTCCAGGGATATTTTCTTATTCAGAAAGAACCTTTCAAGGTTGAATAAAAGAAATGGCGACGGGGTCCCTGAGAGCGGGAAGTGATCATCATTTTCACCTTCAACTCTTCTTTGATGTGGCAGAGTCAATTTTTAATCAGCAACCATCACACTGGGCTTCATTTCTCCTCACAAAGTCCCATTACTCTGCCACTTTCTGGAAGGGGGTGATAAGGACAATGCTCCCCTTTTTCTCCACGTTCATAGAGCCCAGCGTATGAGTCCCTTTGGAGAGGATTGATAAAAAAATAAAAAAAGAAATGAGCACGTAAGGAGAAAGGTCACCCATCCGCCTGGGTTAACCCTTTATCCACAAAAGGGGGGGGGGGGTGGTTGCTTGGACCCAAGGAAAGGAGGAGACAGCATGAAGAGTTAAAATGTTACGGTCTATACGTTTCTGTGTTTCTCTGGGGCGGAGTCACTGTAGAGCTGCGCTTTAAACAATGCTGGGAGGTGTATGAATGTGGAAACCCAGCTTATTCTATTAGACTTCATAAAGAAGGAAGCACCATTCCCCAAAAAGCTCGATGAGTTCATCGTGCCCACTAGGAGCAGCGCAGAGTCGCCGTCTTGGACGGAGCATGTGATTGGGTCTCCTCCACTGCCGCCCCGCGCCTCGGGAGCGATCGGGTTTCTCGGAAGCCTGACCAGTGACCCGGTTCGGAGGTCGTGCCGAAACGCCCACGGATCGTTCTGGCTAATCAGGCCCGATTTGAGCTGGCATCCCCCTGTCCTCATTAGCGGCCTAATCGGGTGCAGATGTCGCTCACATTGTGTACTTTCTGTTTCGGTTCTAAAGGCCAATTTGGGGAGTGCGCTGCCTGAGCCGTTCCAGGCTGGTCGCGGATGCAGAAAGTTTACATTACTTTAAGCTGATGGGGCTCGTTTACATTGGGCCTCATATTCTGACAGTGTATCATGTGGGCATTATTACATATTGAAATAATGAGAAATATCTGAAACAAACCTTACAGCCTTCAGTCTATGAACCATAAAACTTGACAGCACCTCATGGATAAAACGTACGACTCTCAACTCACAGTAAAAATCAAAACAAAATATCAAAAGAAAAACAAGAAGAGATAAACTAAAAAATAATCAAACAGTATGCTTTAAATAAGATGACAAAAACACCAATTAAAAATCTGATTAAATTGCCGCACAAATGCAAACATATACACCATGCATGTATTTATAAATAATAATAACTTGCTCCAGACCTATAACAGTGATGGGCTGTCACAGGTATGTGCAGTTGGAGGAGGAGAAAGACCTCCAGGGTTTATATCATTGGATAAAAATACCAATTACCTTCCTGCAACAGAACAGAACACAACCCAGGCTTTGCTGTGTCTTATAAGTCATCTTTTAGTCCTGTCTTTAATGACAGCACTGTAAGGTTAAGGAATTGACATAAACGATAAATTCCGGGCAATCGAGGGTCCTGACAGCCTCGTTTTAATGCCGAAGTAATTATCCACTTACTCTTTTGTGTAATTGTCAAAATCCCCTGCTTAACTAAAAATGTGTACGGTTCGCATGAAGACGCAAATTCTGGATGAATCCACAGCACCGAAGCTGCGATTTTTCAAAAGCGTACTAACATTTTCCAGAGGACCACACACACAAAACCACACGTTCATTAAGCGAAATTACTTCAGGAAGTTAAGGATGAGAAAGATCCCAGTTTTGGTCTCTTTGTATGAAAAAAGTGCAATCCTTGTTGAGAATTACAGCTAGTCTTTGGCAAAAGGGAGGAGGGAGGATTGGGGGGGGGGCGGTTGGCTTCACATTAATCTGCTAGCCAAGCTAAAATGAGTTTAGCACACATCAAAAGCATGCTTATCCTCAGAAAACCTCACCATGCTCTCAAGGACAACAAATGATCATTTTCGTGATTGTTTCCGGAGGACGATTTCCTGGCTTAAGTGCTAACCCTAAAAAGCAGTGACATTTAATGATGACACATTGTCTGCATTATGTATCTGTATGATTTTTTTTTTTTTTTTTAAGAGTTTTGCAGCAAGGGTGTAAATGACGAATCCCGCTAATGAGCCCTGCCTCTCCTCATTAAAATGTATAATCCCTTGGGGAAAAAATGTCACTTTCTTAATGTTGTCCAGCATCCTGGGGATAACAGAGACTACTGCGTTAAAGCTTCCGGATTTCCTAACAGTCTGTCATTAGCACGGAAAAATAGCCCCCTTTGCAAAGGGCAGAGGCACTTCACAGAAGTAGCATTAAGGTTGTGCTATTTAAATATACCTTGTATTTTGTTTTGATGTATGTGTCGGTATATACTGTAGACTACACACATACAGTACTACAGACTACAGACAATACATATGAGTAGTACATTCAAAGACGTCTCCATCAGGGTTCTACATTTCCAGAAAGTCCATTGGAGATGTGGTCTGAGCAATAAGATAACTTTTTTTTGGTGGTTGAAGCAGGATTACATCATGTTTGTTTTTTTGCGTTTACCGCCTGGTTCCTAGGTCATTAACTCTGTTGGTTTGCTGATTTATTTATTAATCCACAGGCTCGCAGCTACACAGGCAAGCAAAAATCACATTGCTGAAGTGGGACTCATCATCATCGACCTTGTCGTTTCATACAGCCACAGGAGTTAATAAAGTTATTAATAATTCCACTTATATGTGCCCTTAAAATGCACTTGCAGACAGACAAGATGTGTTAACACAACACTTCGGAATCCAATCTGATTTTTGACAAAATGCTACATAGTTAGAATAAAAACTATTTGACAATATTTGCAGTCTAGTTAGCAGCTATACTATACATTTGGACAAACCTATCTGTTATAATCCTAGATATATTGCTGTATATTGCTGCTTCTATTCATAAGTCTGTCATCAACATACAGATGTCACCAACAAAATTCTCACAAGGAAAAAACAGCCATATTTTTGGAAAAAAAACATCTACAGCAATCACAGATCCAGAATAATAAAACGGGCAATAATTTCTATCAAGGGTATTAATTAGAAACAAGGAAAAAAAAACAATGTGGTGAATCATCACTTTTAGCAGGGGAATGAAAATGGCAACAACAAAGTATAAACTCGAGAGAAATGAGGGTTTATCAGAATGTGTGACAAGGGGAGAAGGTGATTCATTTTCCATGCTATTTATGAACGGGCGGGATCTGCGGACAGCTACAGGAGCCGATTCCCTGGCAACACCGTGCCCTCGGGGCCTGTACAGATGCCATGGAGAAACAAGTGTTGCCTGCCTTCAAGAAGGCAGAAAAGATGTCGCCGGTGTGACCAAAGGAGGGGTATGGTGACAGATTACTGATTCACGCATGCGGCACTACGGTATACATACACCAAAATCAAATATTTATAACAAGAGCATCAGTGGGGAAAAAAATAAAATAAATATAAATAAATAAATTATATATATATATATATATATATCAATGAGTCAGTGATTGTCACTTATAATAACAGTTTGTTCTTGCTATAGAGAAGCTGCATTTAACCACATCTGGTTATTTAAATGCCACGTCAACAATTCATTTAGCACCATCTGCGATTTATGCCACGTTTTTCAGTCTCGTGTTCATTTTAATTATTATTTTTTGATTGATTTTTTTCCATGGCCGCACCCCGCACAGCCTCAATCTCAGCGGCGAGCTGGCTCATCTTCTCTGACCAGAACTCCGAGCTCTCCTGGAGCTGTACGGAGAGCTCCCCCACCCGTCGGATCCAGTAGGACTTATCCGGCGCCTCCCCGGGATCCGCTCTCGTTAAGTTGCCTGTCGGTTCCCATTCAGCAGTCAAGAAGGGCCCTCGTCGGGGGGTGGGGGGCCGATGTGAGATGGCGGCCGGGTCGGGGGGGCCGGGCTCTGTGCAGGGGGGTGCGAGCTGGCAGAGAGGAAACCTTTGTGGAGAAGCCCTGAGGGTGAGGTGTCCAGCACTCTTTAACCTCCGTTCAAGCTGTTTACGTTGGGTCTGCTCTTCCTCCAGCTGCTTCCTCTGATCCGCGTTCTCCAGACTCAGGGCGCTAAGCTAGGAGAAAGGAAACAAAAGTGGCCAGTGACTAGTGCGTGGAAATGCTCTTTAACTGACTGCTGCATAGCTACTTAATTGAGTTATTTATGGGCGTACCCTACAAGGAAAGCCAGGCGCCCTCACGATCAGGTTTCGCCTTTTCCGTCATATTTTTCATAAAATCAGTGCAGATTTCACAAAAGAAAACGAATCCCTCATACTGTGATGAAACTCTAAGGGAGACGACCGGACAAAATAACACCATTTCAAACATGTTTGAATATTATAAAAGTTTCCTTTTCCAAAAGAAATGTTTTCATTGGTCACCTTGAAGCTTAGAGTTGCTGAGCGCTATGATCGAACACAGAAAAACTTCTGGGTGTCCTCCTTGACTCGTGACTTTGGGGTCATGATAATATTGCATTCGATGCAGAGAAGGATGGCAAATATGATTTTTTTTTTATATGTGTAAAAACACAAAAGCACTTTTCAATCCACGCAGGAGCAGACATGGATGAAAGAATAGCAAATCAGAGTCAAATAATGGCTATACAAAAAAAGTCAAACATGAAATAGAAGGGACAAATTCAAATTTACCGATATAACCAAAAGAGCAGATTTTTGTAAAATCTAACACAATTCACTGCAATTTTTTTGCAATTCAACTTAGGATGCCCAGCTACTAGATTATGGCCGTAAAATGAGACTTTTACCTGATCTAAATGCAGGGATCCTGTAGGATGAGATCCTGCCTGGAATATAAATGTAACATATATATAACAATGTTTCAGAAACGTTGGCTATGGTATTGTACCTCGTAAATGTAAAGGCTTTTCTGAACTGATGTCCTCTACGTGTTTAATACAAGTGCATGGAAAAAAATATATAGCAGTACAATTTTCACATGAAGGAAACCTACCCAAAGCATCAGAGACATAGGTTTAAATACAATTTTCCAAACCATGAAACAAAACAAACTGTTTCCTAATGTGTTTAAAGCCTGCACGTGGGCTTATTCGAGCTGGAAAAAATGGACAGAATTACACTAGACCTAAAAAAAAAAAACAGAATTACCAGGGACAGAGGGAAAACATAATTATCTTTTATTTTTGCACTATAATTACACTTTAAGTACAACTACATTGTGGGTTCTATACTGACAGGAAAAATAACATGAATTAGAACAGCGGGGATTCAACTAAATAAGGTCACAGAACCATTTTTTGTGTGTTTGTAACTAAAGGAAAGTCCTGGCTATTTATTTACAGCAGCTGGTCTGGAGCTGCATGTCTGCCGATATCACCTGCTTGGGGTAATAATACTGTAAGAGCAGAGGGGGCTCGCACCGCAAACGGCCAGAACCAGACGGAGGCCGGTCGGACGGCTCTCGGAAGAGGACCGGGACAGGAACGGCGAGGCGTTCCGCGGCTCAGTCACAGAAACCACTGCGAGTTTGTAAGTATTTTGTTTATCACCTGTTCTCCAGCCTAGACAAACCATCATCCCAACATGTCAGCTGAAACAATTATCCACCGGATGACTCGCGCTCATCAGCTCGCGGGGAAGCTATGGTGCAAAGATGGCAGACGTGTGGGTGGGTGGAGCCCCGCCCCCGGCGGGCGCTGACACGCGCAGCAGGGCCGCGGGGGCCCCGGGGCACGTTCCAGCCATGTGGGGCTTCAGGATGGGCCCCTGTTGTGTGGCTGCATCCCCCGACAACTGCTGGGAGCTGTATCACCTGATGACAGGCCACGACTTTACAGGGCACGCGGTGGCATTTCACACCGGGGCCGGTGACATCGGTGGGAACAGCGGCCCGCCGTCACTTCCAGGTGAGGACAGCAGAGCTTCCCGCTTTAAATTTATAAAAATAAAATGGCAAAAAATGAAAATCTGCTCATGTTAAAAAAAATAAATAAATAAAAATGTGTCCCACTGTGTGATTAACTGCATCATTGGCTTTGTGATTTCCTCATTCCGGGGAACATTTAAATGTGTGAAGAATGATGTTTATTTATTTTAAACAAAACTCAATTTCAAGGAATAAAAAAGTATAGACAAAACAATGGATAAATGAACAGCCCAAACAAACTGTTATTGACATTTATTTTTTAAATTTATAGTAATTCAACTGATAATTACACAATGGCTGTAAAACTCTCATACACAAAAGGCAGAAAGCCTTTTTGTCCAAAATGAATCACTACAATCCTGTTCATTTGTGTCGCTTGATTTAAATACCACTCAAATTCCCCCCTAAAAAGCGAAATACCCCAACTCTATTTTACCTCAGTCAGAAACCGTGTCCTCTCTCATCTCAACAAACTGGCACAATACAGCTAGACAAATGAGTATAACCAAATAAAAGCGAGTCTCTCTAGATGTATCATACAATTCCACTATGAAATAAAGAGTTTTTTTTCCCCTTCCCTTTACTATAACTGAAAGTGTATTCACTCCATCTCATTTCATTCATACTTGAACATCAATTACTCTGTTATGAATCACAGGCATAGAAATTAGAAATCAAATCCTATTGAGCTCCATTCTAGACAGGGAAATCTATGCAGATTAGACAGGGGCAATTTAGCTTTGCCTTCCACGCTCATTTTCTTACCATTACTTGGAAATGAAGTAAGACATTCCATTATTATTTGGACTGAAACATCAGCACCAGAGTTGCTGAAATTACCTTGAATTTTTTTTTTGCTTGAGCTAGTGGAGTCATTATTTCAAACATCTTAGTCTGAATCAATATCAGTAATGATTCATTCGTTTGATTAAGAAGTGAGTCCATCTGTAGGTGTCAGGTAATTACCAGGATGACCTATAATGAGAATATTTCACAATCCTCTAACTTCACCGGCTTGTTCCCTCAACAGCGTAATGACTTCCTGGTCCAGCTGTTTCATAACACTTCTATGCTTCTGTGGTTTTGCTCAAAGATCAGTAGCTAGAGCTTGGCTGTTGCTGCCGTTTTTCTGGGAATAAAGATTTCTGTGGAAACGCGGGTGAAAATAGGTGTGAATTCAGGAGATTGGGATACGTTCCACTTAATGAAAGAGGCAACAAAAACCAAGCTGTAGCATTTTTACTGATGCGGATTCTCCACACGCTGCTACTTTTCAATGGCATTTACTCGACATACTTTGCATTTTAAAGAGCGTTGAAGAGATGTTTTTCGATACACAGGAATGCAGCGATCTCTTTCATAAATAACGATAGCTAACCAAGGTGTACGCTTATATATATTTTGATGTGGAAAGTAGAACGAGGAGGCGATACTTTGCCAGGCTTTCAATAGAACTATAAAAATTTGTTAGACACACTTGTTATGGGAATTTCTCATACAGTAGCTGTCAGAAATTACTCAACTAGTTTGAGAAGAATACCTAAGTGTTTTTAAGTATGGGGAACAATTCTGGTTCCTGTTTCAACCAAGGGAGTTCCGTGGAGCATCAGTTCAGGCGAGGCAGTCAGCTGTTACCTGTTGGTTCAGCAGAAAGATGGATTCCATGCTTGCTTTCAGCTTGGATTGCATGTCTTCCATTCTGCTGAGGTTCTGGGTCACCAGGCTAACCGTCTTGCTCCTTGACAACAAACAAAACGGCCTACCATTAGCACAAAGGATGAGAGACTCATGAGGTTTCTATAAACGTTGCCAACCGGATGCGACGTGACTCTTTTGAGAACGTGGATGTGAGGAAGACCTTGAGTTGGAGAACAAAACCGGTAGCTGGGTCCCAGCTGCAGTTCATTTAAATTTCTTAACTAATGTTAAAATATGCAGCCTTGTGTCTATATATAGGCGACTGTGGAGCATTGAGATGTATTACTAATAAATTTCAACTTAAGAGAACACCATATTTAAAAAAAGAAATGAACTGTCAAAAGTACTGTCAAAAGTGACAGTTTTCTGACTTTATTCTGCAACATGAATAGCTCAATGAGTCATTCCTTCTTTTAAACGAACTTTTTTTTCAAACTTCGTCTGGGCCTATTTATTTTTTAATGTTAAAGACATTCTTATCTGCGGGCCAGGCTGCTCTGATTAAGGCAAATGTTGAAGCCTAACATCCCTTTTTGCACATCTAAGTAATGACTATCACGTTAAAAATATGGCACCGATTTCATGTGCAAAACTATTCCTTTGATATCAAGAAAACATGTCAGACGACGAGGCACCTAAGTGCCACAATTCAATGCAAAATAAGTTCTGATTTTTTTAAATTAACTGCTACTAACAGATGACTTTTCAGCTATTAATAAAAACAGACAAAACTAACATAACATACAAAACTAACAAATTACATACAGCTTTTTAAAGACTTGGAAACAGCCATTCAATAAACAACAGTAACAACTACTATTATTAATAATCGTAATAGTAGTACAAATAATACAGCTACTACTGCTGTTAATAATAATTATTATTATAATAAGCAGTACTTGTGGAATAAATCGATGTGTATAGAGTCCTCCCCCGCCACCAACCCCCCCTGGCTACACACTCACATTCTCCAATATGACATGTGGTCAGACGAACTGGTGTCTCTAAAATGCAATTAGTTTTTGCTTTTGCAGGAAGATGTGCCCTGCGACAGACTGCTCTCGGCCCTGCCCTGAGTCCTATGATTCCTGCAGGCTGCGGGCGATCCAGTGTTGGGTAAGTAGTTTTAAAACAGCACTGCATGGAGCAGTAATATAGTGCTGATGGAATACTTTAGGGTGTAATTTTATATACAAATGATGCACAGGGCCTCTGTGTCTGGGATCTGTTTAAACACGGGCTGTATCACCAGCCCGGCCAATTACCATTTATGAAGCAGCACAGAAGGTTAATCTTCTCAAAGAGAGACTCAGAGGTTTTCCGTGATGTTTGTAAAAAGCGTCGGACGGAAAGAAGCCGGTCATGCCCGAGCTGCATATTCATCGGCGGCCTAATGAATTCCATCCCCCCCCCCACGCAAACTTTCCAGCCTATTAGTGAGAGCTTAAAACACACAGCCGCGGATGCTGAGTACCCATTACAGGCCTCCACAAACAAGAGACAAACATTTTCCATGACATGCCCCTGAAATGCCCACGACTCTCATCTGACCTTTTCAAACCTACCAATATGAGCGTTTCAGTCCAGAAGAATAATGAGGGATTTTACTAAGAAAAAAACATGTAAAAAAGTGTTAAATGAAAGACATCAGAAGTTCTAGGTCGTCATGAGCCAAATATCGCACTAATTTCTCCTGTGCCAAATGATACGACATTTCATTTAATAAAATAAAATTTGCACATTTTCTAAATCTAAACACACACACTAATGAAACAGACAGTGTTTATTTGTAATAAACATTCTAGTTGTTTGTGTTAAAAATAAAATACCTGCGGGTCAAGCTCAAGTTTTGTCACATCCAATTTCTACTCCTCGAAAAAAGGGTACCGGGAGTCAAATTTCCCCAGACTGCGCCTGATTAGCGCTTAATATCGAGCCGCTGTTACAGTAACGGCTAAATTCACGCCAGTAATCACCAGGCATCTGCCAATTAGAAGCGCCTAATGGTGGCCTGCTTTTTTGGCCACGCCGCTGGTGCTGACAGCTCATCACTGGCAATATGGCTGTCAGAGTGAGAGCGGCTCAGTGGCAGGACAGGGTCGGAGTCGCCTTCAAAGCCTCTATCTCCTCACCCCCCGCACCCCGATCCTCGCTGCTGCCACTGTCCGAGTGACAAAGGGGACCAGAGGACAGATGACCAGTGACACATAGCTCTGAGCCTGCAAGTTGCCTTAACTGTCCAGATACTGCTACTTAATTATTAATACAGGACATTTTTATTTTCTTATTACCGGACATTTGGATGCATTTTTTAGACCCATAAACTGCAGAGTTGCAATAACTTTGCGTTTTACAAAAAAAAGGAAAATAAAGAATGGAAATAAGTCACACCTCAGGGCTGGGCTTTGTGTGTGTATGTATTTATGTGTGTGCGTGTGTGTGTGTGTGTGTGTGGGCCGATGTGTATGTAACACTGTGGGGAACAAATGTCCCCACAACGTGATAAAATGTGTTGTTTTTATGGAACCCCCCGAGGGGAAACTCAATTTCATAAAAATCTATGACTGCAGTAAAAAAAAAAAAAGCCAAAAGTCTTGTATTATGTTTCTTTACTTATTTATATTGAAGGTTAGGGCTGGATAGGGGTTAAGATTGTGATTGGTGGGATTAGGGTTTTTCCTATAGAAATTAATTGGAAAGTCCCCACAAAAATATGAGTACAAACATGTGTGTGTGTATGTAGAGTTTGCATGTTCTCCCCGTGTCACACGGAGTTCCTACCACAGTCCAAAGACATGCAGCTTGGCTGACTGTCCATGGTGTGGGTGTATGTGTGTGCCCTGTGATGGACTGGCAGGGCGCGCCCCCCCCACCCCCCAGCCTGTCCCCTGTGCTGCCCGGGACAGAAGCCAGGTCCCCTGCGACCCTGCACCAGATAAATGGTAGAAAGACGGATGAAATATTATTACCGTTATTAAGTACTTTACGCTCAGCAATGTAGTGACTGAGTTATTGAAAAGGAGGTTTCACTTATGCTGGACACAAAAGTTCAGAAATGACTATATTCGGTTATAGCAAATGGAAATAATCTTTTCAAACCGCATTGTGCTGAGTCAGCTGTGATGTGCCATAGGAGGGAATCCATTCAGATTACACTGAGAAATGTATAATGTTATAATTTGGGTGTACGAGCTATCTTACTAAAGGCTGATTTGCATGCAAATAAAACAACTTTATCTCCCTAATCCACAATATCCATATGTGCCATGAAAATGCTTCTCAAGTTATAAAAATCACCTTTATTGGGTAGAGGGATGAAAAAGAAAACCCACAGAAACACTATAAGACCATAAATTCAGAATAAAAGATGGAGACAAGTAACAAACAAAGGAGAGGGACTTGATTGAACACCCTTATCTCAGTCCAGATGATAATACTCATTTTATTAAAGCCATTTAACATCTACATATAAACTTTTTTTTTCAATTACTGAAATGCACAAAAGAAGCCATCCATCTCGCTGCCGTGTTTAAACGTGGCCATTAAAATGACTGACAGCCGGAACCCACGCGAAGGCAGCAAAAGTCAGCGAACAGATGGGTTAGGGTTAAAACAGAGAGAAGCAAGGTGAGTTATGTATGTGAATCAGGGACAGGGGGCAGTAGTGAGCCCCAGAGGGAGTGGGCGGGGCATGCAATCAGCAGTTATACCCTTTAATGCTGTATGCCCTTAGCGGGATTAACAGATCACTGATGAATATTATTTGATAGGCTCGGACACACAGGTTCATGGTTTCTTTATCGCACAAGACTAAGTCTGAATTATTTATCTCATGACCCCGTGGCTGATTCAGGTGTAGCTAAAACACACGTTTAACTGTCAAAATGGCTTGCAGTTGTTTTATTTTAATAATGTACTTTAACTTATCAGTCATGTGATGCTTTAGAGTCTCTTTTCGTAAGTTTTAGCTTGGGTATCTGACCAGTGGCTAAATGTGTTTGTTAACCATGCAGGATCTCAAATAAGAACAAAGTGGAATTAAACTTTTTTTAATAGTCAAATTAAAAGAGTGTTTTAAGCGAACAGTTAACTGCTGGTAATGGTAATTACAGCCAAATGCTTCTGTATAAAGTAACTTGTGCACCTTTTTTGTTCTTAAGAAGTTCTTCCAGAGGTGTGTTTATGAGGACAGTCCGGAGCATGAATGTGCAGAATGTGATCCAGTTGCTGCTCAGATCTCTTATCCGCAGCAGTACCCGCTGAGAAAAGCCATACGTCTACAGTCTATCTCACCTCTTTGATGTCACAGAAGCAAAAGTCACTAAATCGTATAACACCGAGCTTTAGCAGTGTGTGTATGTGTATTATAGCTGGGAATGCGGTCCTGCTAAAACGACGTTTGACTGAATAGCGGAAAGCATTCCTCAGTCCACCTTCAATGGAGATCTTTCGACCAATGAACAAAGAACGTGCATGATCCATGAAGTGCTATTTCGTGGAAGACACACACACACACATACACACAGGACCGTTACAATCACTTTACAATAATAACGTGATTACGTAAAGCATTACGTGGAATTTAAAGAAATTTACATTTTTGCACTAATTTTTGCATTAGGTTCAACTAAACAAGCAATACACGCAAAGACACACACACACACACCAATAAAATAAGCCTGTGACACTCGCAGACAGTCACAGAGCTACTCAGACACCATCTCTGGTGCAGTCACTGCAGACACCACACGAAGCAGGGTACTTACTCGTCCACCTCAAGGTGACCTCTGAGCTGATTAAGAAGTGCTTGCTGATTAGTGGAGTGACTGTCGACGGCCTGAATAGAACGGGGGGGGGGAGTAGACGTTCATTAACTCTCTGCACATTAACAGTGAAGAGCAACAGAAGGAACACGCATTCCCGACCATGCCGATTGGGCAAGGGGTCCGGTTATCACTGTGAAACTGCTACCGTCCGTCATGTCCTTCAACCTCCGGAGCCATCCGGCTCGGAATAACATGCGTTTGCAACTTGTCGCAATCTTTCTTTCCGACAAATCCTGAACTAGCACTGCAGATAATTCAGAATACGCATATCTCGTCTCCAGGTTAATATAGATATAACGCTCACATCACATCGCTAAGGCCTAAGTCTCTCGAACCGAGGTGAGCCCATACGGTACTGACGCTTTGAGGATCGTGTAGGCCCTGCCGATTGAAGGTCGCCCTTGAGAAATGTGTTACGTCCTCTCAAAGAAGGATTCCGGAATACTGGAGTTATCTGAGAGAGGATTTAAGTCATACAAAGAATGTCTATTTAACAGCCCCTTTTAAAGAGGAAAAAAAATCTTTAAAAAAGTGGGATATTATTTTTTCCCCCCCAGATACTCCTCATTTAAAATCTGTCCAGAGGCAATGCCAGTATAACCGTTCATTTGCTCACCAATCTCTCAAGCACACACTTCAAGACTTTAGTGTACTGCGAGGAAAAGCACACCTTGGGAAACAGTGAAAGACAGCAAGAATATTTCCAGGGCTTTGCATGACAGATCGGTGATTGGAATTAAATAAAAATTCACCCCCAGCATTTCAAACTGAGGAAGTAATGTGGATCACGGAAGGGAGAAAAAAAAGTTTAACACTGAACTTTAAAATGAGAAATTTCAGTCATACTTAGAAGAGCCTACGTGTTTTCACATCCCCCTCGCGCACCATTAACCAAAGCAAATGTAAATGGAAATAATAAGACCGGCTTCTTCAGTCCGATTCACTTGCCTGTACCTTTAAATGCTCAATCTCCCTCTGCTTTTCATTACTTGTGGCCTTCAGCTTCTCGAGTTCCACCTCCATCGCGTCTTTGGTTTCTCGCAAATGGCTGGAAGAGCAAACATGATAGGATTTTACCGCCAGAGCATTTTAATGATGTCATTTAAAGGAACGGTACTACGTGACGGCTAATGACCACCAAATCCGGACTAGAACGAGGGAGCCCGGGAACATCACCCAGTTCGAGACAGGCGCTTGCCGGATGGTAAATGGGTCACTTCTCATTTATGCCATTTCATCTTTCAGCACGACGGTGATCTAAATCTCGACAAACTTTTTTATAGTTACCTACTGTACCATTTAATTGTACCATACCAGACAATCAGAACGTTACATTAATCATTATGCAGAATAACAAGCACTTTCTTGTAGTGTTAACAAGTAATGCAGAATGGCAAACAGGGAACCAGAAATAAAAGCTTAGAAAGTGGTGCCTTGCACTAACAGCATGAAGGCTGTGGGTTCAAATCCCAGGGAGCGCCTGAATGAAAGCATCAAATAAGTGAGTAAAAATTTAGAATGGAAAACGGCAGCGTGATTGAAATGGTGCTGCTTATCAGAACAGAAAATGTACAGAACTGTACAATGTTTTTAGGGTAAAAAGACACTTATTTATAGATTCCTAACAAAAATGTGTCTATAGGGTGTGTTTGTCATCTATTTGCCACCTATTTCATTTATGAATAATCTATAAATTAGTTTCAAAGAAACTATGAATGATTTTTCAGCCACATATCTGTCTATTTATCTATCCAGTCATCTTCCAAATGCTTATACAGTTACAGGGTTGTGGGGAGGTCAGGACCCTAAGGCAGGCAGCAAATAAACACAAAGCAGAAGAAGAAGCCCACACAGTATAGGCCAGTGTTTCTCAAGCCGGCCCTCAGAGACCACCAGATGGTCCACGTTTTTGTTCCCTGCCCTCTCCCTGCCAGACAGGCCACATTTTTGCTCCCGGGAACTGGGAGGGAGCAAAAATGTAGCCCGTCGGGGATCCCTGAGCACATGGTTGAGAAATACTGGTAGGAGCCACTCAGAGATACCAATTTGCCTCAATGCATATATCTGGATAGCAGGAGGAAACCAGACTATCTGGTGGAAACCCAAATGATGCAGGGAAGACATGCAAACTCCACACACACAGCGTGGAGGCAGGATTAGAAGCTCCGACCCAGGAGGTGTGAGGCAACAGGCTACCCACTGAGCTACAGTAAAAAGAAAAACAAAAAATAAATATAATAAAAATTATAAAGCATAAATGTATAATATATTATTCAAGTACAATGATATATTTATTCAGAAAAATAATCCACCATTTAATATTTTTCTCTGTGGTCCTAAAGAAGATAAATTTGGATATAACTCTATAGTATGTATCACAAACTAGCACTAGATGATTTGTGTGCCTTGCCTAATCAAACCCTATCTTGAATACTATGGAATCAAATTCTGGCAGGCACAGGAATTTTCTATTGTCTGTGGTCTATTATGACAAATTCCTGCCAAGTAAAAAAAAAAGAAAGAAATAACAACAAATAAAAATAGCAGCATATTGTAAATGTGGCAAAACTGAATATGAGATCAATGTTTGTATCCCGAGACACCACCAAACAATAAAATGTGCAACTTCCAGCAAATATCTGCCAGCTATATTTAAAATTAATGTGCTGTTATAGATTAATGTCATATTAATCAGTAAGTCAGCAAAAACTAATTCTAGCAATACGTATTTGAAATTCCCAGTGTAAGTAAAAAATAAAAGGTAAATAACGAATTCGCATTATTGTAAGCTGCCTGCAACAGCTAATGTCATATTAGGAGGGTAACAGTAGTACAAGCACATTTCCGGAGACTGTAGCATCGCTCACACCACGGAAACGCTTTATTTTACCGCACAGCAACATTTTGCATAATCTCCCGCTAAGGAGGCGAAGTGACAGCATATGGGAGCCAAACGCGATCGCGCGCATTCCCAATCAGAGCCCGCGCGCCTGACACCGTTAATGAAACATCAAAGCAGTCGAGCGCGCGCGCGCGCCTCCCCAGTCAGGAGCCGCGCGCCGTGACAGACACAGCTTGGTGGCGGAGTTGAGGGGGGAGGTAAGCGCCGGGCGTCGCTGGGGAGTCAGGGGGACACGCCGCTTGACAGGGGGGCTCTGGAGAGGACTTTGATCAAGCTCCGCGACGCACGGGACACGTCGCGGCGGTGAAATAGAGCAGCCGTCAGTCGAGCTCGTCACTCTCGGTCGTTTACATCCTGAGCATCGAATTAAAAGATCTTTGTCAGCGTGTGATTAGAGACGCCCTTCTCCTGCAGGATAAATATGACCTATTTTGCAGGCATGGATATTAGGATAGCTGTTTTATGCCGACTGAACGCTACCAGACGTTTGTCGTGAACAAGTCAATCATTAATGATTTATCTAAACTTCCGTATTAACATGGGATGGGGGGGGGGCGCGCGTCAGCCGCTGAAACTTTTAACGCTGTACCGCCATGCTGCTACGCCAAAGGAAGTAACGACTGCTCCATATTTAAGGACGGACACAGTTTGCTTAACTTTCGAGTTCTCGTGTCGTTAAAGATCTACGTTTTGTAAAATAAGGCCAGATGTTATTGGAAATTTAAATCTGTTGTAAAAAATGTAGCTATCTATAACCGTGGTGTGGATATAAATGTCTCCCACCCTGAGGCCCACCTGTCATTCACTAATGATTTCTATATATTTCTGATGGGATTAGGGTTAACGATGATACACCCAATGATAAAGGATATATGTCAAATCCTCTAATGGATCGTATAGGCCATCTTATTCATTGTTTTGACATGATTAACAGTTTGTTTTAACAGGCATAATATGCACTGATAGGATCTCATTGTTCCCATGTACGCAAAGTAAACACAATGACCATTCTGTCGCCTCAAACCAGTTGTTTAAATCCATTAGGCATATGGGCTATTTAAATGAGCTAATTAGCTCTTGTTAAAGCAAGTGTCTGTCCCTCACCAATGGGTTTCAGAAGACGTATGTAAATGCACGGGGCTCCCCATTCACAAAGACCAGAGAACTGAAGCCCTAGGGACACGCCGCACTGTGTGTGAGTCCTCACACGTGCATTCTGCACCGTCCAGGGCTAAAGTACTACTGCCAGACTAATAGGTATGCATGTTTTTACATCAACGACCCATGTGTTTGAAAACACAGCGAGATGGACAGTGTATGGTAATTACACACGATCTCGAGGTATCTTCATCAGGCTCCATGGCGATTAATCAAAGTCAGTGTGATTGGCGGTGTTCCTCGAGAGTAAAGACAAGAGGGCTTTTAGCGCCTTTTAAATAAAAAAAAGAAAATGCATATTCAGAACATTTACGCTTACTGTAATTTGGGACACAGAGAGGGATAGTTTTCCATATGAGGCAAACGAGGTGTGATTGTCATCCTGCTCACACTCTCCTCTCCCAGGGGTGCAATTACGTTCTGGGTCGATGGCAGCGACAGTTCTCCTTGCTTGGAACAGGGAGGGGGTAAAAACGGACAAGCTCTCCTTCCGAATCAGCCCAGAGTAAAGTTATTACGTCTCGCGTTATCGCGCATGGGGTCTCTTCATCATGCAGCGGTGGGGGCTGCATTAAATAGATAAAAAGCTAGAGTAAGTATGGTAGCTCTGGCTGACAGGACAAGCTACCAATTCTGAAAAAAAAAACACTTTGTTAAATAAAATGGCCTATAGCAAGGCAATGTTCAAAATATATGCAAACGTACTGTAAAGAAAGACTGTTATGAAGTGGCAACTTCAGTTTTAATTGTGAGTCGCTGCAAAGACCCTGAAATTCATTCTACCTCAAGCGTAGTAATTATTCTGCTTCATGTTAAACTTGATGTTTCGGTTAACTTAACTGTTTTTGTTGTTTGTGGGGTGGGTACTAACTAGCCTATTGGCGGGGTTAGTGAAATATGAGTGTCAGTCACTATATCCAGAGTCAGATGCATCTCCAAAACTCTGATCTATATTAGGGATCGCCTTCTGTTCAGAGTGCTGCAAATGGTGCTTTGGGTTCCTGGAAGTAGGTCTCCAACAGTAACAGACATGGACGTATTAAAATACCATCACTTGCAGTATCAACAGTATGCAGAGTGGCTTTGGGGAATTCATATACAATGACAGTACTACAATATGCAGGGAAATATAATACAATATTACCGAATGCTCAAAGATACACAGGAAAGACAATTTGCGGTTGCGTAACACAGAAGGGAGAGTAGTGAGTACATGCATACTTCAGCTGATAAAATATTAAATGTTTACATTTTGTAAGTCTTAACCAAGTGAAAGTCATGCCACGATTTGAAGTTTCCAAAAATCATGTAATTATGGAATTGTAAAGGCTGACAACTGACTCACAATTGTGTTTTTTCCAGTGCTCTTTGTGCCCGAGTGTAAATTGGTTATTTGTCATGAAGGAGTAATGATCAGAAATGTTCCGCTTGGGTCTTGCCGGTGTGAGTGGGTATGCAGACGCGCCAGGTTTCAGACAGGCCTCACTGCCCATCTCCACGGAACAGGACTATGTGGTGCTGCTGTAGCTCACCCATGTTTCTAACTGTGATAAAACCCATGTTTTCTGATTTGTGGTGTTTGTTTACCTGCTGAGACGCCTGTTAGCTTCAATCAAAATAAAGCCAAGGTAAGTACGTATCTTGCATATTATGTGAGAAGTGTGTATTCTTTTTTTGTCAGGATCATGTTGTGCAGAGGATTCCCTTGTCCCTCTTCATTTTTTGCATCTTTTTTATATAATTACCTTGATATAAAGTAGCTTTGGTGTAGCTACTTTTTCTGTGTATCTTGTACTTTAATATGATTGCCTTGCCTAAGTTTTGCCGACTTAAATGAATACAACTAAATTGTGCTTATCAATATACACCCGCAATAAATTTGATTACCTTTTTTTTTAACATTGTATTGCAGGTAAGTTAATAAATAAGTGTGATGACACAGTTCTGTTTGTATTGATGTGCGTTGACATCTTCTTTTGTGCATAAACTCTGAGAATACATACCAACCAGATCACATCATTCAGACATAGCGCAGTACTGCAGGATATCAAAGGCCTTTTTACTCACTCCTTTTCCATGCTGATGAAGGACAGCAGGCTGTTCTGCTCCTTAATTTTGGCGGCGAGGCTTTTTCTAGCATTCCTGTAAGAGGGCAGACGCTGAGCTTCAGCAACCAATAGTGAAACATAGCACCAGTTTCAACTGTTCCAATCAGTACGGTGCAACAAAGTGACTGCTGTCACTCGAGAAACAGACATGGCTTGATCTTCAGAGCAAGCGTTAAATGCGACACACTGATCGTTAGGCGTTGCTATCAGTCCTGAGGTACAGTTGCATACTAAGTGAAACATCATTTTCCAACAAGTTTTTTTGAGAACTTGATCCTTTTAACTTGAAATAAAAATATTAAAAATAGTCAGAAATCACAGCCAAATGAAAGTAACCATAGAGCGCATAAACTCAGTGGAAAAGCATAGATAAAGTCAGTGAAGTTTCAGGCTTGGGTCCAAAGACCACACAGCACCGGGGCAAACATTAAAAACATACTGTACATCTGAACCCACTGGCTTAATGGTTTCACTCCACGTACAGCTGTTGACATTTAAATTAGCCAAAATACAGGCATGAGATTTGTACCGGGCGAGCCAAGCGCTCCCACAGCTTCCAATGTGAGCTGTAACTACAGTGAAACGAAATCTGTCCGCTTTGTATTTAAATGAGAGTCAGGTGCAAAAACAGAGTGAATGTTTAACGTGGGGTTTAGCGGCACAGCGGCGAGCCCAGCGTTCTGGGCAAGCAGAGACTACCCACGATTCATTTCAACTTTGATAAATGCCTCAGGCGCGAAGGACAAGTTGTTTTTTTCCTTTTCATTGCACAGTCACTTAACCCAAATCAGATTCATTTGCTTTAAATTATATTATGAGGAAGAAAAACAACTAAAGAACATAGGGTTTTAGTGTTGCGGGTCCTCTGTATATTCCATGCTAAGTAGATGTATAGTACATGGTGTACGTTAAGATTTTAGTAACACAAGCTTCACAGCTTGGCTTTGGTTGCAGGATGAACAGGATTTATGAAGAAGCGGCCGCCAAGACTATGACTGAATCCTCATAGTGGTTATCCTTAGATTAAACCAGCAAAAGATAGGAGACAAGACAGGCAAACATCAGTTAGGAATCACTTTATTAAGACTCTTTTCTAAGAGTCACTGCTGACTCTTGAGGTGAAATGGATGGGAGCAGCACCTATCCTTCTGGAAGCTGTCTGAGGAGAACGTGGATAAACGTTCAGCTCCAGTTACTTCTTTGGTTAGTCACGCCCTGCAAACGGGACACGTTTAGACTGCTGCATTTATGGGTTAGTCATTTTTTTTCTAAATGAACCAAATTTAGTCACATACTTTATTATTTAATCCGTTCAATTAGACCACAAGATGTGGGTGGTCTCGAATACTTTCTCAAAACTATGGTGCACAACAAGAGCAAACTGCTTATATAAGTATTACCTCACGTCTTGAAAATAAAAAACGGAATGATCAAGCCTTTTTTTGTTCCGACCATCTTGAAACCGGGCCTCCTGGCATGTTAGGAGATTTGCGGCCAGGGAAAGGGGTGAAACGTCATGCTCCAGCCTGGAGCAGAGCTCACAGGTTTCACCCACCTCTGCTTGTCGATCCAGATGCTCAGGTTGCCTGCTAGCTGCTCACAATCGCGCTGCAGGTGGGTGGTTTCCATGCGGGCTGCTTTTGTGGCCTCCTGCTGTGCCTCCAGCTTGATGAGACAGAGAGTTGAAGATGAACTCCTGGTGATATTTCATTACTACTGCTTTAATTATTGGGGGGGGGGTCACACAACTTGTGCAATAGAATAACAACACTGTTCCATCAGGACAACTTGCCTTCTCCGGCCCTAATAATAAACTTCATGACTTGTTGAGGGTAGAACCATTTCTCTCCACTACTTCAAATAACTGAGGTTTCCTTGAACATAGTATTAATTGATTCCGTATGCTGGCACATGGGCCTAAAGCTTTCTCATGTCTTAGATTAACTAGTTTATTATGCTGACTGTACACAAGACACTTTCACACAGGGCATAATTCTAATCAGGTTCCCTTTATTAAAGACTCTTTGGTGCTTTGTTTTTTTTTCGTCTTGGCACATGAAAATGCTGCCGATTGGTGTCAACTTGAAACTCTCAGAGGGGGTGCGCGTGGAGAAAGGAATGCAAGTATTTTACGTTTGCCTTGACATGGTCTTAACAAGTCCAGGATTGCACTTAATCAAAGCCAGAGGACAGGCTAGGGTGTAATGTTTTGCAAATGTGTTTGGGGGAACAAAGTGTGGACAGACAAGTGTCTGCAGGAACAAAGAGAGGAGGGACAAGTGCTTGGGGAACAGAGAGAACATAACAAGTGTCTGGGGGAACAGAGTGTGGAGGAACAAGGATCTGTGGGGAACAAAGTAAGGAAGGACAAGGATCTGGGGGAACAAAGTAAGGAGGGACAAGGATCTGTGAAGAACTAAGTAAGGAGGGACAAGGATCTGGGGGGAACAAATTAAGGAGGGACAATGATCTATGGGGAACAAAGTAAGGAAGGACAAGGGTCTGGGGGGAACAAAGTAAGGAGGGACAAAGATCTGGGGGAACAAAGTAAGGAGGGACAAGGATCTGGGGGAACAAATTAAGGAGGGACAATGATCTGTGGAGAACAAAGTAAGGAGGGACAAGGATCTGGAGGAACAAAGTGAAAGACAAGGATCTGGGGGGAACAAAGTAAGGAGGGACAAGGATCTGGAGGAACAAAGTGAAAGACAAGGATCTGGGGGGAACAAAGTAAGGAGGGACAAGTGTCACAGAGGTGTTCACAGAGAACCACGGCAGTGTGCGCGAACAGCATGGAATGATGAATACTCTGGATTAGATAGTTACCATTTAAAAAATTGCCAGTTCACTCTGCCTCCCATTAAACACCAGAAATAATATCCCCTGTCCAAATCACACATTCTCTATCAAATTAAATCACAATCAGGAATACGTCCGCAGGCCAGGCGCAAGCCCTACAGGGGACCATCTGTTCTGCATATTAACACAGAGTGTGAGATCTCTTAGCAGCACAGAGCTGATCACTCCTGTCTGTATGATTGGCCTGGACATTTGCTCGTCTGCACAGGGTTTAGCCATCACACTGTACACATCCTAATGGCGCTTGTTGTAATTATGGATTCCCGACAAACTAAAACAACGACTGAGGGCCATCTGCAGTTTTTTGTATTATATAATATTATTTCTGCAACCAGTTGCAAGTTGAGACATGTTCTTTATATATTATTCCATGCTGGCTCACACGATATCTGCATAGAAGGGCCCTCTTAGGACTGTACTGTACATGCAGACTTTTCCGGATTTATACATGTGTAAAGTCATACTACAAAAGGTAAACAAAGCCGGTTGTACTGAGCTGGGGGCAAGTGGGATGTGATGGGTGTGGGGAATGGTACATACGACTGACTGACACTTTCAAATATGACCGGTGCTCAAGTTATCTTGAAGGATCGAGGCTGTTAGGTGGAGTGGTCTGTATATACCACATGTATCTCGTGGGGGATCTTTAACCATTTCACTTTTAGACTTGGCCTGACCAAGCAGTCTGCTCAGCCCTCCAACAAAAAAGTTGCTGTATCAATAAGTTGGGAAATGTGGCTTTAATTTACAGCACTTACCTCTGCGCTCACAGCCGCCAGCTTCTCCTTCAGCGCACATTGCTCCATTTTCAGATTTTCAACCTGTTTTAAGAGAACGTGGCTCAGAAGAGACTGAAGTAGAATACAGAATATTATAACAATTACATTATAATGAAATAAAGACAAATCAAGGGATGGTCAGCTGTCTGGCCACGGAACTGGCCCAGGGGTTGTCACCGGTTCAGTTGATTCAGGCCTCATACATTGTCAACTTTGCAGCTTCTCCTTTGGGGAGGGGGGGAGGATGTAATTCTACTCTCAGCACCACCAGCTGTTTTTTTCTTATTGGCCTGATCTCTAACACTCTCCCAGCCAATCCCCTACATTTGCCAGCTCTGAGATTTAAACCTCGAACTAGAACAAGGTGATGGCAGCAGGGCGGGGCGATGTGGAACCTCTGGCGGCCTAGCTACGGAGGAAAGCCTCTTCTCCCTCCTTCCTCGATGTGTACAATTTTTTATCTACCACACCAGCACAATTTTTAGCCATCAACAGCTAGGGGGAGGGCTTTATTAATAATAATGTGCAGCGTTTAAGCTACCCATGGCGATCAAGTCCCCCAAAATATTACTACGGCCACGAAAGGAGTCGCACAGGCCCGAAGTGCGTCATTATCAAGAAGCGGTGTGACAAAGCACGTTCCGTACACGGAACCCAGATCGCAATGGGCTGCCTTTCAAAGCTGTTAGGACCCCTCTTCATCTGGCACATAAAGCAACGCATTAATTCAGCATTAATTATAGAACATGTCAAACCGCGTTTCAGTCAAAGCTCGCCCGGGGTCTCTGGAGTGTTCTTAATGACAGTAATTACAAGTCATAAAAAGGCTCATCTAAAATTAACATTTCTCTTTTGCCTTGATAGGAAAAATGTAAATAGCTGCGTGGTACAGATGTTATGATTAAGGGGGGAGAAAAAAATTACACATGGTTCTTTTGTTTCTGCGTGTGTCACGGTGAACAATGATAACTCGGCGACAGCGGCGGCGGTTTAATTTCTCCGAGGGATGCGACGCAGAGCACGTTAGGAGGTGTGAACCTGGTTAACATTTAGATTGTTTTTGTCCCCCCCCCATAAAGAACCTCAAATATGTGCTCAAAAAGAGAGAGTATGAAGAAAGTGGAAAACATCGTCCCGACTAATCAATCTCACCAAGCCGATGATAGACAAAGACACGAGTAGGACTGTTTGAAGTCTGGCCGGATGGTATCTGTTACTCTGTTACTGGAGTTCAGACGTGCGTCCACACGCCGAATGTGAGTTGACAGACATCTACGTTTTGGCTTATCTGCACCTCATCTGAAATCTCAATTTCATGGTTAACAATGATAAATACTTCACTGGACCCAATGCAGACATTACTTTAGTAGGTATTGTTTCCTTGAGAGGGGGTGATGTGGTCGCACTGCAGTTATTACAGTTGCATCACCCCTCTGAAGACCAGGGTTTAAGTTTCAGTTTGCATGTTCTCATTGTGCCAATGTGGGGTCCCCCCCACGCAGTGAGGTAATACTTATATAGGCAGTTTGCTCGAAGGTGAATTGGAGTTGCTAAATTGTCTCTATATGTGAATGGTGTGTGTGTGTGTGTGTGTGTGTACTACAGTACTGTGTGTGGATTAGGTTTACATTACATTGTGGGGACCAAATGTCCCCCACATGTGATAAAAACCTGTTTTTTTGAAGTTGTGGGGACCATTCTTTTAGGTCCCTACAAAGATCTGTGAATGCAATCAAAAAAGAAAAAATGCCAAAATTCTCGTATTTTCCTTGCTTACTTGGTTAGGACTGGGTAAGGGTTAAGGTCATGTTGGGATTAGAGTTTTCCCAATAGAAATGAATGGAGAGTCCCCACAAAGATATAAGTACAAAATTGTGTGTGTGTGTGTGTGTGCGCCCTGCGCTCGGATGAGCTGGCACCCCATCCTGGGTTATTCCCTACCCTGTGTTTCCAGACCTCCATAGCCCTGCATTGGATAAGCAGTATGGAAGATATCCACAAGTACAGCTGGAGTTTGAAGGCAGGCTGGTTCATTAAGAAATTTTAATTAATTCATAATATTTAATCATGACTCCATAAGCGATCCCACGGTTATTCCTAATATGGAGAGAAATGCATCTTGCACGCTTTGACGCAGTTGATAGTTGGCAGAGATGCAACCTGCACAAATAAACACTGCATTCTTCGCCCATGGGCAGTCAGAAGGGTGGAGGCAGTGAAGCTTCAGTTGATGTGGCTGCTGATCTCGTGCGTTTACCGCACCTCTTCGTCAGGGAACCCGAATGCGTTCCTGCAGGGGTTTTCATGCAGCTCTGCGACTTCTCGTTAATTTTCCAATCCCTTCCTCTGGCCCACCAAGCTCCTATCGTTCGGTCACATCCGCCGTGGAAGCAGAGAGATATTTAATAAGAGGGGAGCTCCTGGTACTCCTGCCTGATATGCCCCTAACCCCCCAGCTACGGTGCTCTGGCTGCTCGGAGGGCGGGGGGCGTCACTCTGTCAGCCGTTATAACGCTTGACAGCTTATTCCGCCACACCGAGCGGAGTGCAAAATTACTTTCTCCGTACCCGTCCTCGGTTAATAACCAAAAGGCAATAACAGCCGTTCTGTATACACATATACACAGAGAGGCAGGAGAGGAAAAGATTAAAGGCCGCCGATTATGAGGGGGGAGATCACGCAGGCACATACAAAGCAGGAGATGGAGGGAAAGAACTCCCCGCCCCCACCGCCTTGCGGCCTGATACAACATTTCAATTATAATACCACGCAGAGGGCACCGCGTAGCACTTTAGAAATACCCTCTCCACTTTTCCCAGAAACACAGGGGAACATTGCTATTGTGTTTACACTAGAAGCTTTCCTAGTCTATTTCAAACAGATCAACATTTCAAATTTCCTAGTGGAGACATCTGCTCACCCCCCTGGGGAGATGTGGAGACACTGCCTTCTTTGTACAAGCATGTAATTATTAATTTCCCCCCCCTCCATCTCAAACTCTAGGTTGAATTTATTGATTAACAGATATAGTTTTTTCCCCTGTCTCTTTATGTTAAACCAGCATTTCAGTGGTTTTTGTGAGGGGGCAACAAAAACACTGATGCCCCCCCCCCCCCTTTTCTCCTCAGTTTAATCATTTCCAACTGCCTCACATACTAAGTTCTTGGCATGAGGCGCAGGAGGAGGGGGCCTAAGTTATTCTCCTAAGACCCACCTCCCTGACACACAGCAACAGACGATTGGAAGAAACCGATTACCTGTGGCGACCTGGTAACACGTTACGGACCAATCAGGAGACAGACAGCCAAGGAAACCTGGCAGATTTGAGCTCCTCTCCTACAACAAGTGTTTCCACCGCTCTGATGCTCCCAGTTAAAAGCGGCCTTCTGAGCTACAGGATTCAACCTTGGCTTTTAACCCTCTTAAATGAAATATTACTTTAAAAAATCACGCATGGTTTCCTTCAAATAATAATTAAAATAAATAAATAAACGTTAAGCAATGAGCAGAAATCTGTGCATCACTTCTCCTAAAAGCCTGGTGAACAATGAACAATGTCAGCCCAGAATACAAGAACTGCTCATTTCGTAGAAAATAAGAACTGAAGAATCTTTCTATAACCCCGTTATAAAGATGTACACCAATTTGGTACAGTACATTACATTAATACCATGTAACATGCTGTGTTTTCTGTCCTTGACTGTTTGGCGGCTTGGAATGTTTGTAGAACCCATGGAAGCTGCTGGAACCCTGTGCAGGTGTTCTAAATCAGGGCTCTTGATAGTGAAAATCAGACAAGACATGCTGCCTCATACTGATGGCCCCAAAATGTTATGGATGGGACTTGGAGACTTTATGACAGACTCTCCGTCATCACACTGGCTTTGCGTGATGCCTAGGGGAACTCGCCGAGCATGGCACAAATGTTCGTATAAATCCCCGCCCACCCCCCCAAAGACAAGCTGTGGTGATTTCATCTTTATTTATGTCAGATGGAACATTCCACGCAAATGGAGAAGCCAGACGATAGCGGCCATATTTAAAGTAGAGAGCAGCTCTCCTACAACGGGTCGACTCAAGGTACTGTACTTGGCTATCAAAGATTAGTGCCCACTCCTTTTTGCAGGGCAGGTTTCATCTAAACATTGTTTTAGTAAAAATTTACAGTAAAAATTGGGCCTTTACAAGGACCATAAGAGCTGTAAGTCATAAAAACTAGCCACTTTACCCAACATGGATGTTTTCATCATAAACAAATTAATAATGAAAGTGAATATGTTCACAGACATGTGTGAGGCACCGTGCTCTCTCTGTGAATGTAGTCTGCATGCTTTTTCATTTTGTGTGGCTTTCCTCCAGGTACTCTAGTTTTCTCCTGAAGTCCTGAAGTCCAAAGATATACAGCCAGAGTAACTGCCATTTCTATATTGCCCATACTGTGCATGATGGACTGGCATTCCATCCAGGGTTTAAGTGTCCTATGCTGCCTGAGGTGGACTCTGGGGTAGACCTATATCTATGTTTATATATATGTATTGGCCAATGCTGTTTGTAGGATACCTTGAAAGTAAATACAGACCGTTAGGAAAATGTGTCGTCCATGCTGTTAATTCTGAGTCTGCAGGTCTTTCCAATAATTCTAAATGATAAAATGGCACGTTGCACACGATGCCTCGCAGTCAAAGTGATGCTTCCACCGTTTGAAGCACCAATAGCTACTGACCAAACACCTAATGGCTAGCGGCCATTTAAATTCACACATTTATGACTGACAGGTCCTTTATCAAAAAGAAAAACGATGCCACCGTATTCTTAGCCACTTAGCGATTTTCCACACTACGGGAGTGCCTGGTGAACACTTACTTATTAAGCTGGTTTTCACAGGAGATTCGTTATTAATTACACTAATGGATATTCTAATTGCGGTGGTACACACGCACTCGTTTCATGGAGAGTAAAATGAACCCACTAATGCCTTAATAACATTCATCCGACGATAAATAATGGAGACTACCCAGCGAAGTCAATTAAGGGCATATATACTGTATATAAAAGGAGCGACTTGTCCGCTGGCACTATGCTCAGAAATTAGACAGCATAAACACTCTTCACAAAGTACAGCTCGGCTTTCAAATGGCAGCCCGTATCTTTAAAGTCCGAGACTTGCCACACGTCAAGCATCCTTAATTGTACTTCTTTTCTATGTCTAATTTTTATTGGGGGGCACTGTGGGACTGTGCCTGAGATAGGAAGGTCACTGGTTCAATTCCCATCCTCCACAGAATATTCACAGCTCTGTTGGGCCACTGACTAAGGTACATATCCCCCACCCCCAAAATGCTCCAGGGCCACCTGAGAAATGGACGACGCTGCGCTTAACTGTATGGATGTGTGTGTATGTCTCAAAGAATTAATATGTGAAAAGACTCTATTCCCATGTACCTGCACTTCTGCAAATGTCAAATGAGGCATTGCTTCATTATCGGTTAGATGTCATAACTGGCACTTTGCATGTGTTGCAGTAAATCAGCTGTGTGAATGTCCCTGCTGCCCTCCCGTCCTCCCCCACTGATCTCCCCTTCATCCAGATACGGCACATATGACACAAATAACGGTCCACATCACTGGGAGGCAGAGGAGATGCTGAGAAGCTTTTGACAAGGCGAGTGGCCCCGGACATTCCTGTCTGCTAACACATGTGGGGTGCTGCTTGTCTGCTGCCGGGGCTGTTGAACCTTATACATGCCAGTGCCCTACGGCTGCCCCTCCTCCAGTCTCCTTTGGAGTGGCGCTAACCAAAAGATCCTGTGCTGAGCTGCGGCGTGGATCCGGTACGTTAGCACTCGTCACAGTTTTAATCCGGCGGTTGCTGCAGATCCCACTTAACCATGACCCGTGACAAGGGCTGTTGGAATTGGCAACTGATTCGGAGGGAAGCCAGCCCATAAAGAATGGCGATCATTCGCTGAGAGGCCGCCCTCTGCTCGAGGCATCGCATGTCTGCTCCAAACCAGAAGCATGTCACGTACTCGTCCCATCCCAGATATTAACAGAACCTCAAAAAAAACAGCCTTCCCTGACTGGGCTTGTTGTAATCCCTGGGAGGGGTTGGGGGGGGGGTCACAGTAATGCAGTTGTACAGTAAGGATCAAAACTGTTTTTATAATCAGTATGTGACACTGAATGAGTTTATGATGGAGGGATTCCAGAATCCCACAGATAATGAAATGTTTTGGTTATAATCATGTAACAATAAATTGGTTAATACAACATGACCTACAAAAGATGTGAAATGCTTATCGCAAACTCCTCTTGTGTTTTTCTCTGCAGTAGACATGTCCAGCTGGAAGTCTGCTATTGTCTGCTGTTAGAATGCTCCTGCTACAGCCTCTGAGTGATAGATCTTCATCTGTTTGTGGTTTCGCCTTATGTTTTGCAAAAGCATTTTTGTATTAATTCAACTTTAAAAATAAGGGATGAAATAGGCATATAATTATGCATGCATCACTCAATCAAATGACAAGTTGTCATGGTCGGAATGGGTTTAACAAATATGTGAAAGAGAGTCCAAACACTATCTCGGTTACATATAGTTTGGAAAGATCCGAAATGGTCTTGAGGTATTAATGGTATCACGTTAAAGTATTTGTGCTGGCATTCTGTTACTCAAGCTGTCAATGACAAAGTGTCTTCTTGACAGGATGGTTATGGGTATTGATCCTTTCTCCCAAGCCATTTATCTGTATGCATTTATTCCCTCTTTTTTGTTTTTGCGACGATATGAGTTGTACCTCTTCTTGAGAGGGATGCTTCCTTTGCATGTCCCCTGGAGCCAGGCTGACACTCGAGACCTCCAGACGGCCTTCACTCTCCAGTGGACTGCCCTGTTTGTCTTGGATCTTCTTGGGATCATCCACTGGCACCAAAATGTGACTCCCTCCGTCGTTCGGCTGCGGACACGGAGAGCCATTTGAAAAGTCCTGTGAATGAGACCCCTTTCCTCTCGCCCCGGTGTCTCAAATGACCCACAGAAGTCAGGCCTAATGAGCTGTGCGGGATGGGAATAGGTCTGATGTGATGAGGGAGACACACTGCTATACTTTTCAAACAGGGGGGGTCCACATGATGGAGGGGGGGGGGGGCTTTCAATTTTTTTTTTCCCCCCACAAAAAACGTTTCATACCATTAAATCACAGCCCTAACTGACTATCTGAAAATCCAAGTTCATAAAGTTACAGTACAGAAAATTACCCCTTTTTTAAGTCCATCTTTGTCATGCTATAGGAATGAGTGAAACAGACCCTTGCTAATTGAATTCTTTTTTTCCCTGTTTAAACCATATTAAAAACACATCTGTTAACAAGTGGTACAGCGATAAGTTACGCGATTTCTCACTCAGGTCCAGCTGTGTTTCAACACAACCTGCTCTGATGAAGTCTTCAAACAGCGTTACTTAGAAAAGCGCAGGCCATCTGGTATTTCTAGCTCTTTGTACTGTTCTGTACATTTCTCACACATATCAGAAAATGTGTTTAAGCAGCCAAATAATTAAAATATTACTCTTTCAATTGCCAATAAATGTGAGTCATTTTGAGCTGCACAGTCAAACAGAAAACAGTCATCTTCAGGGGCAATTCCAAAATAATTTAGCCACACTCAAAATCCACTTATACGATACATCAAGTAATGGCTTTGACCTGAGCTGGGGAGGCCATTTCAAACCCAATTTCCTTTGGTTTCATCAAGCTTGACCATTTCTGTGCTCAAAATAATCCTCGGAGGAATAAAATGAGCTAATGTCATTAAGAGAGCCTTGCCGCAATAACAAAGGCCCAGCTACTATTAAAACAAAGACCAAACAAACAAGTGAACAGGCCCATCCTGCCCTTTACTGCAAAAGGTGAGGCCTAATGTTACTGTGAAGGGTGAGGTAACGAATCTTCCAGATTTCCTAAAAATCACAGCATTTCATTTTACCCATTCTGTATTCATCTGTCACAGGAAATAGTTTACATAAAGCTGGTAGCATTAATATTTGTGAAACAAGAAAAGTATAAATAATGCAGCTCTGCCTAACATGTTCTAAGCTTACGGTTGAGCTTCCATTCATCTACTGAAACTGCATGTGTGTAAGGCCATAATAATTACCAGTTTCAGCATCGAGCGCTAATATGAACGAATTCAATCCGGGTATAACATATCAAAACTCTACACAGTTCCAGGGAACAGAAAGGGAACTTTGGCAAAAAATAAAAAAATAAATAAAAATTCAGGATTCATTAAAAGTTAAGAGACCAACAGCTCAAGATATACAGTTTTAATAGGAGAATATCAAAATTAATATTAATGACTATTTTAAGGCTTTTCAGCAAAGGGATAGCTTAAATTCTGCAAGACCAATTATGAACTGGCATTAGTGTGTCATTCCACGGCTGCTAATGAATGGTTACTTTGATGCATGCCTAGCGAGACTCTCGGATTGGGGGGGTGGGTGGGGGGAGGGGTATGCAGCGCAGGGATCTGAAGATCAGAAAATGTCCATTTCTCATTGCATAGGTAACACTTATTCTCCCATTTTTAGGTCTCATGTCCTGCATTTATCACAGCAATGACATGTTCCTGCAAGATTACGTTTGAAACTAGTTATGCAGACTAATACCTACTGAACTTGGAAAAAAGTAATAATATTTTTGGAGAAGGGGAAGTCAGGTGATTAAGTTTATTTGTATTGATTTTGCTCCACCTGGCCCATCAACATAGTGTATAAACTGATGTGCTTGATTTGATTTGGACCCCCCCAGTAACCCAGACCAGGTTAGAGACTCGTAATCTCCCCACGTATAACCCCCAAAAACCCGTTCTGCTCAGGTCCCCGAATCATGTGATCTGTTCCCTGTTACAGACAAAAAAAATAGTCATAGTGTGGCTCTTACAATAGTCCGGGATGGCGGGGGTAGGGGGGCAGATGGGTGGCCAAGCAAAAACCAGAAAGAAAAAGTGACAAAGACGTATGTTAGTTCATTACGACAAATTCTTTTGACTGCTCCATTAGACAGTGGACTTTTTCATGACGCTTTATATTGACAGCTCCTTCATAATGCATTCGTAGAACATTAAGTGCACCTTCATAATGCATGCATAAGCAGCATGTAAGTATACCGTAGCATGTCTTAAAGCAATGCATTCATAACATTTTCAATGAACAGGATATGACAGCTCTAATATACATTACTAACAAAACATAATTATACAGTTATATAATGATTAATGTATATAAATGCATTATGCATAGTGAAGGTGCAGTGAATGTTCGAAAAATGCATAATGAATGTATCAGAAAGGTGCAGTTAATGTAAAGCTTTAGCAACTTTTTGCATCACTTAAATGTGACTTACTGTAATTTTTTTTTCTGTGAAAAAAAAATACATTTGAAGATGTGAAAATATGTTTGTGATGGTGCAAAGAAAAAAAAAACTTTCGGTGAGACATCTTTGAAATACTACGAGGGATTTACACATAAGCCTCTAAACAAGCTAACAAGCCACAAATAAAACTACTGAAAGCAGCGGTCTTTCATTAAAACCGGCGCCGGACATAAACACGAAGCATTCCTGGTAACGAAGACGAATAAACAAATGAAAAAATTATCATCACACATTTACGCCAAAACATTAAATGCATTTTTGAAGCTTGCTGGCAGACGCGCGTGTTGTTTGATTTGCTCGGGATCCATGTGGAGCAGGAGGGCAGGCAGAAGTTTGCGAGGTCGCCGCAAAACTCACTACTCTCCCACTTAGTTTTTATAAAAGACCAATTTAACGACCCGTTACTGAGCGCGCTCGGAGGAGTGCCCACGGCCTCTAATTGCAAACATTTGCCAAAAGCAAAAAAAAAAAAAAAAACCTTTGGGTCTCTAACTTCAGTTTTCATTCTGGAGTATTTTTTACAGAACATTGCAATGCATGTTCAATCAAGGTTCCTCCCTGAAATCTTGTTAGCGACTCCGGCATCATACTGTATTTGTTTTCGACGCGGGAGGGATGTTGTCGACCAAGGGGGTAAACTAGCAAATTTTGACAATAAACCCCAGTTCATTAACTACAAATTTTAGCACAGCCATGCAAAGTATGACCTTAACCATTAAACAGAGGCAAACGCTGGCTCAGTTTACAGTATGACATACAAAACATTGAGAAAACAAGACATTTTGGTTTCTTATTAATTCTTATTTCTTATTAATTGTAAACTCCATTATTACCACTAGAGGTACCATTTAATTCTCTTCTTATAAACCAGAAATGCTTCAATAGATAAGACCATCTATGTCATATTCTAAGAAAGGCTTCCCTTGGCTTCAGGAAAAGGGTGAAACCAAATCAAATAGAATACTTGGTGGACTTGGATAGCCAAGCCAAACTACATATTCCTATAAAAAGATTTCTCTGCCGGAAGTGATGAATGTCTGTTCACAATCAAGCAAGATCTATGACGTCACACAGGGCCCTTGTTCAGGGGCTCTTACACTGAGCAATACAGGATGGTTTAACATCAGAGATGGTTATTAGATATCAGTCAGACTCTTTAGCGCAATAATACTGGCATGATTGAAAAATATGTAAGTATGAAAAGATACAAGCACTTTGTTCAACAAACAGCATGGCAGTATTTTCAAGTGATTTCTAGCTGGACACCAACCATATTAGAAAATTGCAAATGAAATTCCATCTTCAAGGAATCAAACACTCATCAGGAAGGACTCGTGTAGTCATTCATTATAGTGATTACATTATAAATACACATCAAAACTGATTTCATCAATATTCTGTATTGTGATGGAAATGGCAGAATCAGAATAATGGATAAATTCAGCAAAATAAATAAATGTATATTTAATGTGGCCTAATCTTCTGCCCTTTCCTTCCACCTTTTCCTGGGGTCACAGTGCAGACATGGAGCTTAGGAGAAGAGGTGATTCGACACCATCCTTCAGGTGTGGCATTGTGCATGAGTGACCTCCAGGGGGCGCTGACTGACACCCTGCACTGCCCGAAAGCAGTTAATGAAAATGGATTCATGGATCTGCAGATGAGCAGGCTGTGTTAGTAGCCAAAGAACCAGGACAGCGCAGTCACCACCAGGGCGTCACCACCCTGCTGCAGCCGTAAGACCACCCGTCCCAGACATGAGTCACTCCTAGGATTCAGAAGCCACACCTCCTCCTACTGCAGGTAGAGCCCATTGTGTGCAGAACATGGTAACACACAAAAAGACACTCATCAATGCACGCGAGAAAAAGTAAAGGACTACAAAGAAGGAAAAAAGAAGGGACACTCACAAGAAGCAACTGACTGAAAACAAAGTGCTGTTTATATTTTTTAAAGAAGTGTATATTTCACCTGGTCCTTTGTAACGGGGAATGATGCAGAACCACAAAGTAGATTGTAAATGTTTTCACTGAACTACACTCCATAATACTTATTAAAGTTATAAAAATAATCTCCGCGGCGCAAAGAGGCTAGCCGAAGATTAACACCTAATAAAAGCACGATATAAAAGTTTATTACATTCCAGCCAAGACAAATTAAAACCCCAGTCCCACTGGAGACACGATAAGAAAACTGTCGTCCTCTATCTTTAAGGATTTGCAAAATTAATATTAAAAATATTATATATATATATATATATATATATATATATATATATATATATATATATATATATATATATAAAGAAACTAAAATAGAAAGAAGGAATTCCTCTAAACCATCTCTGCATTCTGCATTCCTTTATGCGATGCGATCATAAGAAAAAATATATATATATTGTAGTAGGCAGCTGCAGGCCTCCAACCCGTAAATACATCAGCGGCATGCAAACCAGCTTTGCACAGGTAAACACAACAGATTCCTCAAGCAAATGAGGTATCAATCTAAAGAGGTGTGTGAGTATTAAGATCAGGGGAAAAAAACCTTTCAATTCAGACTATGCATGCTGAAAAATGTGCAGAGGTGCCAAGAACTGTCCGGAACACCTTTCTTGAGATATCAGGATTGATACTGTCACTCAAACAGCCGTGACAGACAGGCAGAATGTCCGAATGAGTGGGTTTTGTTTTTGTGGAGCATACAAACGTAGAGGTACTGTTTGGTAGGGGGGATATTTTATCTTATTTATGCTGCAGGGATGGCAAGCAGTGAGCAAAACTATATTCAAGCAGGCGGATTTGTGGCCTGAAGTTTCGATTCCCAAGAGGGGTTTGAACATTTTCGGCATGTACCTGGCTCTGTTAATGGGGGAGAGGGGTGTTTAAATCGGAAGCTCAGGAAGTCACCCGGAATAAGCACGAACACTAAGCATGTAAATAAGAGCATGAGGTGCGTCAACAGCAAGCGCTAAACCACAGCACGCAGTACACTCTGGCATCCGTGCAACGAGCATTCTCATGCACACCTGCACACAGCCACCAAGCTATGTGCTAACAATAAAGGCAATAGACTTGAATACAGACGGTCCCTCGTCTCCCAATGACACGCGCTCCGTAAACCCGGATAGCTAATGCATTCACGCTCATTCTTATCGACGCTCTCTGTTTGCGCGTGGCACGTAACAGATGCGCCGCGTTCAACCGCGTCGTCCCATCCCTTTCTGTGACGATACTCCAGCTCCGCGATTCGGCACTATATCAAACGTGCTTGTCTTCTGCTTTTGACAAGAATAACTTCTTTCAAGTGTAAACAAACCCATCTTTTCCCCCTGAAAGTATACCCTACAGTTCTCAAAATACTTTTTTTCCCTCCTTGATAGGAGCGGTTTATTCTAAATAATGTTGTCCTCCTAACAGGGTTAAAGGTACGAGATGTTCTGCTTCCTACAATATACTTTGATCGTTATGGATCTTGCCTACACACGTGGACGGAAGGTGCTGAAAATCATTACTATTCCCACGGATGGGTTGAACGTTGACGTTCTGACCCGGAGGTCAATGCACTAAGGGTCAGGCAAGGTCAGAAAAGGTCAAGCAGCAGTATATCCACAAATCTCCACTGACGGATAATAGATACAGTCAGGAAGGCACAGCAATTAAAATACAGATGGAGAGAGTTAGAATGCAGTAGTTCATAAGGCCCGGAGTACATATCCTACGTCACTAAATCATTTTACATTAATCCGATACTGCATGAGAGGCCCAGGGCCCCGATAATGGTGCCGTCACACAGTAACGAAGCACCCCTGAGCGACACCTGCTGAATTGATTGGGAAGCCTTTGACACTATGTAGTATATCATAAACTGCACAGTAGGCTGTAAAGCAAGGACAATCAGGTGACCATCTGCCACCCAATCAGAACACCAGCAGTGTATAAACGCTCTCCCTCTCTCTCCCTTCTTTATGTCACCAGGGAATATTTCTTTTCATAGTGGAAGTCTATAGCATGTAAAATTAGCAAAATTCACTGATTTGCTTGATTTTTTTGTCTGATCTCAATTCCGACACTCAGGGCACGGGTTCCTGTTTACCTTTGCTTATTAATAACATGTTAATGAACGGTGTGACATGAAACATGTTCCTATTTTGGGACATGAAAAAGGGGCACAAGCTACTAAATGAGGTTTATAATTATCAGTTTCCAGAGAATCTAAGAAGAGGTACATAGCAGTCTGGATGACAATGAAACCCTCGCAGGATATTATATGACATCTCAAGTCAAAAGCAGTAATGAATAATTACCAAAGATTATATTTAAAAAATGCACAATGGGTGAAGGCTTGTACGTATCAGATCGTGCGGACGGATGTATTCATTAGATCACAATGAAGCGAGTGGAAGTGGCCAGTCATCGTTAGCTAAGGAGTGCCGTGGCCTCTTTGCGGTGCTTAAGGTTTCCGACGCAGAGCTCTGTTCAGATGACGGGTCGGAGGGGACCTCACTGGAGCTCAGGCGATATCGATTTCTCCAGGCATTGCTATCCCCTCTTTTTTGCACTGCTGCTGCCGCTGCATGGGCGCTCAATGCAAGGAATGCAGCCGCAAAAACACTTTGTAACACTGACTTTTCACTAACCGACAATAGTGTTTTATTTACAGTTTGAAGCTCTGATTGGATAACTGATCTTTGTCGTCTGATATCCCATGATTCATGCATGTGTGGTGAGGGAGGGGGTATTATTTTTCATTAAAAGGCCCGAACAAACAGTTTACACTCTATCGGCCCCACCTGAGGAGTATTCAACATATGAATGTATGTGTGATTAGAAATAAATATATTTCAATACCACTCATTTTGTTTTAGTAGGTGGTACAGTAAACCGGGGGCTTTTCAATTCGCTGTGAATAAGGTGAAATCCTTACCGCATAAAATTATAATGACTTTATGCGGCTAAAACGTTCACGCATGTTTTCGACTTCGTTCAGTGCTTCCTGTTTCCTGTTTATGCACGACATGCCGCACAGTGTGTGCTCCCTACGCAATTCTGTCGCACCCGAGCAACTTAACACTTCGCATAGAAACAAACCGACACGGGAAGATCGTTAAGAATAAGTGCCCTTTTGTAATTCGCCACAGCAAGGGACGTGGCCGTATTACTTGCGGCCGGCCAGTTTGTTTCCCGCTCTGCTAAATTTTAAACAGCCAGACATTTCCCTCTAATTTCCATTATTTCCTTAACATCAGCAGGTAAGACAGTTCGTTCTCTTGGGTGGTCCTCAAAATAATGGCACTATCACATGTTGCAATTAGTGTTTTTCGCTCTGTCCTCAAGCAAAAGGTACATGAAAATGATAAGGATCTCCACCATCCGCCGGGCTTAAATTGGCTTAAGCTCGAACTCGGCGCCTTTGTGTCTCCCGGCTTACGTTTCAGGACCCGCATATATAACCTTATTATACAGTGTAAAGAGAAAGGAGGATCTTGAATTATTCAGCACCCTGGTTTTCCGGCGAGAAGAAGTTCAGCAGAATTTAAATGATCTCAAAGAAACTCGCAAGAAACCTGGATTAATTAGCTCGCACCTTTTGTGGAGTAGAACCTGACAACAGCAATCCAATCTGATTCCCACATGTTGAACATTATGAAATATTACATGTTGGAATTAAACTCAGAGTACCTTTTCTACATTTAGCCCTTCAATTTTGGAAGGAGATAATTCCCCACTCCGTCGTTCGACACTCTTGGCTAATCAGAATTTCGAGCAGGTTAAATCTGTCACGGGGGTGTCCTGGGAGGGGAGAAATGGGCGCTGACAGGAGTCGGGCAGGACGGATAAATAAACAAACACGCAGCCTCCGTGCATGCGATGGGACGGGCCCATGAATTATTGACATGCACCTGCCACAAAGTCAGAATCAGAACACGCAGCTTTGCCCGCTGCTTCTGACAGGGCTTCTCAGGCTCGGGGGGGCTGGGACAGGCTGGAGGCTCTAGGAGTTGCAACCACCCCCCAGTGGATTATCTACCACTAGGTACCTGTTGTCTGATTGCATCTCTCCCGGTTGCCTTTACTGTGACTCTGAGGGCTTCCCTCACTCCTCATGGTTACCTGTAGGGTGACTCTGAGGGTCTCCCTCACCCCAAACAGTTACC